TGTGATGATGTGTATTTGATACCATATACTATCATTATGAATGAAAANCAAGTTCAAAAAAGCATTATATACCCATTTTCAAAAGCTTTATATAGTTTTGTATATTTATTTGCTTCTATAGAANCGCTTTTAATGTTGTGCAGTAAATAAAATTAAAAAATAAAGAAATTTAAGTTCTAAAAACGTCGGTTTACAGGTCTCTATCCAGTTTACAAGCCAGGCTCCAGTACCCTCTTAATGTGTATAAATTTTTCGTTGTACAAATGTTATAAAATCTGACACAAAGTTTGAAAAAGTGAGAAATATAAAACAGCCTAGTTTTTCTTGGATTCATCATAAGAAAACATATCCAAGAGAATATAAACGTAAAAACCGACTTTTAAAAAAGTAAAATACGATAAACTCTCTTATAAACCTATAATTTTAAAATAAGATAGTAATCTGTATTTATATAAAATAAAGTAATAATCTTTAAATTTTTATAGCTGTTATTTCACGTTTAAAGTAGTTCGTTCTTCTTTAACTTACACACATAGCACTTTACATGTATTTGAGGTAATTGTTACATCATTAATATCAGTATTAAGGTTACTGACACTAACAGACTTACAAGTATCTATTAAACTTCTTACGTCGTTATCACTGAGGTAACTAAATATTTGTTCAATACACTCATGTGGTAGCTCAGGGAAGTTACAGAAAAAATAGAAAATTTTAATGCCTTGTTCGAGAAACTCTTTCCTTTCCATACCTTTTCTAAACTTATTTTTTATCATGCTAGCGTATATTGGAAATTTTGTTTTATAATCATCTGATCTTAGAACTTGCACTACATTTTCATTTCTCATATATATTGCTAATAGATTTGTATCTTTTATCAAGATATCATAAAATGAAATGTTAGAATTACTAATTTTCTCATTCTTCATGACTGCTAATTCTCTTTCACATATATCCTGGAAAGATCTTATTTCATAATTGCTACTCATTGATACTAATTTTTTACTTACGTATAACTTTGCAGTTTTCATCTTAACTATATGCTGTGTAAGAATCTCAGCAACTGGTTCATTACTCTTGCTGCCACAATAAAGGTCAAAATAATCCCTACATGATATAGAATTAATGTTAGCATCTCTGTCTAACAGCATCGTAACACCTTTTACATGTCTGTTTTTAACAGCAAAATATAGTGGTGTATCACCTGGTGTAAAAGAATAGATATATGTAGAATTAATATAAACTCCATGTTTTAAAAGATCCCAGCAAACAATTTGGTTGCGAGATGTCGCAGTTTTGTCGCCAACCGCCGGCGAAATTAGTAGACCAAATCCATATCCATCTGTGTCCTCATTAGGATATGGTTTGGCGACCATATCTGTCAAACATGTGAGATGTCAAAATGAGACC